ATCTGTTAATAAGTACTAAAGCCAGATAACCTTAGCAGTATCATTAGCTAAAGCTTTGTACTCAGCTTTAGTAGAAGAGCGAGCAACTATGCGTTGCTTACTGGATTTTCACAAAATCGTCGTGTGACCAAAGAATATAAGTTAACCACCTGTAGATTTTCTATCCTCAACACTGTCTGGCCAATCTGCATCTGTAAAACCATATAAGGAAAAAGAAGAACTAAAAGTAATATGTAAGCCATGTGATGTTGTACCCTGAAGATAACGGAAGATACGTTTCACAACAGCCAAATGAGAATCTGTAGGGCATGCATAAACTGACAGACTCTGTTAACAATAAAACAAATATCTGAGTGTGTAAAAGTAAGATATTAAAGAGTATCCATAATTTGATGAAAGCGTGTAGCATCAGAAAATAATGAATCAAGAAGAATGGTAGCTTTAGATGTAAAGATAGGAGTATCAACAGGTTTGTAAGATAACATACCAGTCCAAGTGAAGATGTCAAGTGTATATTTATGCTAGCGGAGCATAAGACCTATACTAGTAAACTGAACCTCAATACCTAAAAAATAATGAACAAAACCTAAGTCACAAAGCTTAAATTCTGAGCTTAGTAGCTAAATGAGGCATTGAAGTAGAAGAGAGCTACTACCCATAAGTAAAATATCATCGACGTAGACTAGAAGATAACAAATATCAGCACCAATAGAGAAGAAAAATAATGAGGTATCCACTTTAGAGGCACGAAAACCAATAGATAATAGGAAATCATTCAGACAAGTGTATTATGCCCGCAGAGCCTATTTTAAACCATATAGAGATTTATGCAATCGACATACATGAAATGGGAGGGCAAAATCAACAAAACTTGGAGGTTGTTTCATGTAGACCTCATCGTCAAGAACACTATTGAGGAAGGCATTATGGATATCAAGCTAATGGATTTTCCAACCACACAAAACGATAATAGAGAAGATTAATCTGACGGTCACTTGTTTGATGACAAGACTAAAGGTTTTAGAGTAATCAATACCTTCTTGCTGAGTGAATCCTCTAGCAACTAGACGCGTTTTATACCTCTTGATGCTACCATCAAATCTGTGTTTAATCTTGTACACCCACCGACTACCAATAACATTCATGAAGGGGTGAAACAGCACCAAGGTCTAAGTTTTGTTTGCATATAAGGCTTGAATTTCCTCATGTATAGCATTATGCCACGCCTTATATCTATTAGCATCATTAAAAACAAGTAGCTCATCAGAGGGAGGAGAAAGTACCCAATTAAAGTAGGCAGTGGAGGCTGCGATAGTGGTAGTGGACAGTGCTATCTTAGGCTGTCTTGGATAAAAGACCATGGGATGTTGATGAGTAGCTGGGTATGAAGAAATATAGCCTGTCTAGAAAGTGTTGAAGAGGATATGAGGAAAGGTTTACATAAAGCTGCACACTAGTTGGAGAAGCAGTGGAGGGACTGGTCAGGACTACAGACACTAGTAAGGCTGCACTAGAACTAGGATGTTCTACTGTAGAACCAGATTGCTCTGCTGTAGCAGACCTGAGAACATACGTATTTGGTGATTGAGAACCTGTTTCTGTATAATGATAATTGGAAAGACAAATATATGGTGACAATATGACAATGTAAGATGGTGATGAAGGGGTGGCAAAATCTATTAGCAAATGGGCAGTCCGGTGCGGTGCAGTAGAGGGCAGAATTAGGTATTATTGGGGGCAGTATGGGAAGTAGTGGGCTAAAAACATAGAGGGGGTTCAAGGATAGAAGATAGGTAGGTTGGGTAGGAGGTACCAGTGAGGATGTGACCTGTTCAAACTATGCAAAAGGAAAGACATTTTCATGAAAACAAACATGACGGGAGATATAAATACAATGAAATTCTAAATCAAGACAACAATAACTAAGATGGGATCAGCTATAGCTTAAAAACACACAACGAGAAGACCAAAAATCTAATTTATGAGCATGATATAGACACAAAAAGGGAAAACAAAGACACCTAAAAATATATAATAAGTTATAATCAGGAGTGCGATGAAACAGACACTCAAACGAAGATGTATATTCGAGAACGAGAGTAGGCATGCGATTAATAAAATATATCAATGATTCAAAAGCATAGTTTCAAAATTGCAATGGGGCATTACTCTAGCCTAAAAGGGTTAGGCCAGTTTCCATAATATGTCGATGATAACGTTCAACAATGTCATTTTGTTCATGAGTATGAGGACAGATTAACCAATGATGCATACCAATGGTCTGCCAATTTTTATTTAATTTACGATATTCATCACCCCAATTAGTTTGAACATATTTAATTTTAAATGAAAACTAATGCTCAACAAGTATTTGAAAACGTTGAAAAGTGGAAAAGATATTAGATTTCGCAATAAGTGGATAATACCATATGTGTTTGGTATGTACATCGATAAAAATAACAAAATAGTGGAAACCATCAGAAGAAAACATAGGAGCAAGACCTTAAATATCACTAAAAATTAAATCAAATGAGGCAGAAATTTTGTGACCCATAGGTCACAATGACAAATGGGACAACTTACCTAAAAGACAAGTTTGGTACTAGGTAGGAGAACGTCTATAAGTACATATGATTTTATTTCCAGAAACTAACAAATTTAAAATGTGAGGGGTTGGATGTCCCAAACGACGATGCCACAGGTCAGCAGTTGCGGAGATGCAAGGAGACCAAAAGGTTTGAGGAACTAACATGGCAGAAGACTTGAAAAGGACATAAAGACCATCATGACTCTAACCGAAAAGGAGAACTTCCTCGGTGACAAGATCCTTCACATAAAATATAGAAACATGAAATTCAAAATAAACATGATTATCATTGCAAAAAATTTTAACAGATAACAATGGTTTGGTAATAATGAGGCACATGGAGAACATTAGATAAGGTAAACATGCCTTTTGGGGAATGTAATGTAATATGTCCAATATGGGATATGTCAAGGCCCTTACTGTCACCAACATGCAAATAATCGTTACCAAGATAGGGTGCAGAATCGGTCAGAGCTCCAAGATCAAGTGTGATGTGTTGATTTGCGCCGGTGTTAAGGAACCAAGTTGTAGCAGAAACATTCTCAATAGTAAGGTAAGTAGAGAGCTGCTGAGTGTTGCTGCGAAACTGGGAATAATGAGGAGCTATGTGACCGAAACTGGAGCATAATTAGCAGCATGCATACTACTGTCCAGCGCTAGAGTTGTGTTTGGTTTGCTGCTAGTGGTTTGGCCGCCAATCTACAGCAAACTGGCCCCTGTTATAGGGAGTGTAATGGTTGTTATTGGGATGTCAATTACCTCTAAAGCGACCCTATTGCGGCTGAAGTTGGGGCTATGATGAGACATAGCATGGAGAGTAGAAAACTGTGGTGTTGGTAGCAGTGGTGACTATTGTGGCAGAGAAGAAGAAGACAACAAAGAGAAAGCGACAACCATGGAATGAAAGGAATTCTTGTACAGAAATTCATGGGTAAGAAGGCGGCTGCGAAGATCAACATATAACAACGGTTTTGCCTTGGTTATAAGACTCGTTACTAAGTCTTTGAACTCGCCACGAAGGCCACAAAACATATAAAGATTGAAATCTTCAAAAGACATTGGGCGACCAATACTAGACAATTCATCAAATAACGATCTAGCTTACTCCATGTATATACTAACCAATGAGTCACCTTGCTGAAGGTCTTGAAAAGAGTCATGGAGTTGCATGATGCGAGAATTAAACGGAGAGGCAAGCGCTTGCTCAAGAGTGCGCCAAACACAATGCGAGGTAGAGTAATCTACCACAAGATGCAACACATCCACGGTGAGATAGGAGAGTAAAACACTCAAAATAAGTTGATCTTGTTGCTTCTAATGAAGAAAAGAAGGGTTGATGGTAGAGAAAGAACCAACAGAACTATCAAAAATATGAGATAAAGGACACGACACTAAGCTGTCAACAAAGTGAAACACACCTTAACTAAGGACATATGGTTCATCTATATACGCCAATAGAGATAATTTGTGTTCGTAAGTTTCAACGAAATAACTTGGTGGGTGTTTGATAAAGAAATGATAGCTAGAGTGTGTGTTCCCATAAGAGGCAAAGGAACGACAAAAACTTGTGAGGAAGAATCAGAGACATGCTCTGCAAGTGAAGGCTACTGCGAGGGAGAAAAGACACCATCGGCAACAACTTGGGGATGGTTGGCCGGCTGTGCTGCACCACCGGTGAAGAGAGAGAAGTTGGCAGCAGCAATAGAATCCATGGAAGAAAAGTAGAGGGAGGGTTAGCTATAAAGGGAGGAAAGGAAAAAAGAGTTCTAACAACATAGAGTTCTGATAGTAAATTGAGAATAATTAGAAGGCTTAACCTAACAGTTAACCGATCCTTTTTCTCTATATGTGTAAAACAATATACAATAAAGGTTATCACATAAAAATATATCTATAATATTTTTTATATAAATATATTTTATAATACTTGCACATGAGCAAACGAACTTGGAAAGGTTAGTTTTTTTGTACTAGTGTGAGCTCTCATAATGCTGCTTTTGTCTCTCAAATTTGGGTGATGTTCAGACAAATTAGTGTCAAGAACAATGCTTACACATGATTACTGGACAATTATTAGGCCATTCCTATTATTGAAGACATTGAGTGAACTGAGTCCATCACTTATAGACTAATTGTGATCGAGTTTCTTGAGCAAGCTGGCTAACTTTTTTACAGTAAAAAGAAAAAAGAAAAAAGTGAATTCCAGTTGGGATTTTTGTTGTGTAATGGCCATGATAGTGACTAAACCTTTTGGTGTTAGATAGGCTCGACCCTCTAGGGTGTGGTCCACGCTTGGAATGGTCTGTATCCATTAGTTGTATGGTGTTGAATTATCATACATGAAATTAATTGTCTTGTTTGGCTTCAGAGGTGTTTTCTGTACTGGGTGAGAATTAGACTCTAAGACTTCGTATATATGCAAAACATTCTTGATACTCGAACTGTACGCATGAACATATTAGTGGCTGTTGCTATTTGTACTGATTACACTTGAGTATTTGCTTGCTTCTCTATAAGAACTAAGAAACCACCGATGATCAATGAAATAATATGAACTATTTGATCCTTCATGTACGTGCTTATCTCATGACTGCGGAGTTTAGTAAGAATATGTAGAAACTGAGTTTGACCTCTGCAAAGAGGATGAAGAATTTAGGAACTCGATGCAATCTTCAATAGCTTCAGCTCGTTGAGAGTCTACTGCTTCAGCAAGTGATCTTGATCTTGGCAAACTTGATGAAGTGACATTATGTGAAGACTCCTTTCTCATGGACACAAAACGTAGAACTCTTGCTACCTTAGCACTGAGACTCCTTAGTAGTCTTGCTGGTGAAAATTTTGAGGTTCTAGGAAGCCTAAAAGTGAGAGTTCCAGCTATCTTCTTCCTGTTTCCACCTACTTTTGTTCCACTTCCATGTTTAAGAAAGATAGTTGGCTTATCATTGACATCGGGACTGAAACTCACTCGCTTGCTTGCTTTACGTGACATTTAGACCTGGCAGTGGAGTTCCAAAGCGGAAAGTACCCTTCTTGTTTGAAATATAGAGAGAGGGCAGTGCGCGCACACAGAGAGAGCGAGAGAGAGAGAGAGTTGTGAACAAGAAGGGCCAGTTGGTTAGGTTGTGGGGGGGTATTTATTGATGAAAATTGTGACATAAAGAGAAGGGAAAAGAAGATACTGCGGATAAAGTAAAATTAAATACTAGATTGGGGCTTGTCATCGAAATGAGGAATAGACATAGTAGTATTTGTGAAAATAAATGCATTTTCAAAGAGGTTGGCCGATTGTGAAAGACAAAGGACCTAGCAAGCAGCTGTTTGGTTCAACTTCACCTCTATGTTTAGGGAATACGTATAGACATGCATTAACCATGCACATGGCATATTGACCGTATTCTACATCTTGTACATACCCATCCACAATATCCTCCTCACTCATGCCTTATGATTATAACATAGGATGCTCTCTTTCAATTATTGAAAATGGAGAAAGCAGAACATGAATCGGATTCATGTGAATCAAAACTGTACAAATTACTTAGGTATATCGGACTTTAGTACTGTTCTAGCTCTTTAGAATCATCGATACTTAATATATTATTGATTCTATATGAACTCAAGCTATGTGATAATCTTTATTGAATTACGGTTGTTATTTGAAATCACGGATATTAAGCATGGTTCTCGCATGTACGAATATACTTTTTATTTAACAGCCAACGGTAAGAATCCCAGAACACGATGACAGGCATGGTACAAGGTTTCTATCAGTTGGCTAAATAATTAAAGCCTGAGCATTTCAGTGTTTTACCCGTTTTACGCAAGTATGAACAATAACCAGACTGCGTGCATACAAGAATTCAACAGAATCAAGGAGGAGGAGGAGGAGGAGGAGGAGGTTTGGTCAAAAGAAAGAGGAGCAGGTGGAGCCTTTAATAGGGTGAGGACGAGAGAGATGAGGTAAATAAAGAAAAACAAGAATAGAAGAGGGCACAAAGAGGGACAGAATTTGATACTCTTCTCGTCAGCGTTTCTTTTTAGGTTTTCTGAAGGCCCTACCAACCCTTGGCTTTGGTGGCCATCCTGGTTCTATAAGGATAAAAAAATTCTACTAATGATGGCCCCCATTTTAGAGGGAATCTATTTGAATATGGAAGTGTGGGCTTGGCGTGATCGAATATTATCGAACCCTTCTTTTTCTTTCTTTCTTTTCTGTCACTTTGACAGGAGAAAATTCCTGCTGAACAAATCTGTTTGGTGGTAATTTTTTTTTCATGGTGCTTAAAGGTCCCAGTTTTATGTCCTGTTCTTCTCTCACTTGAGTTGATCGCTCAATGGAGCTATTAATTAACGGATCATTTTTTATTTTATTCTTTTGAAATTAACTATCGGACCATCTTAAAGACAGAAGAGGAAACAGCCAGCTTGAGAGCACATGGCTAAGGCACTTATGGACAGACACAAACTCAAAACCTTTCTTATTAATTAAAAAATACTACTCAATTGTCCATTTGCAAGCATTTGGTGGAAGTAAGAAATTAAGAATGGTGCTCGATCCCGTCCATCTTAGCGTTTTGAATAAATAAATAATAATTCAATGCCTGTGTTTCTAGTGATAGAGCAACTTAGTCCTGGTTTTGGAAGCCACATTAACTTAATCCCTTGACTGTCCGTCTATTATCGCAAATTCATTAAAAGCTTCGTTGATTTCTTGGAAAATGGCCAGACCGCTCCTTGAATTTATTTCAATTAATTCGCGAAACAAATATAAAAGATTTAAAGTAAAAACTGTTCTACTTTTTTCTTTTTGATTTAATTTTTTTATCAATTAATTTCATAGATAAAATTTTAAATTGTAGAAATACAAAATTAAAAGAGACGACCACAATGTAAAATACAGAAAAAATGTGTCGTAATCTTAGATGTTTAAAAAATTTTATTTTTTATCTAAAAACTCATTTTATTGATCACTTTTTGGTCTATAGAGTTTAAAAAATACAAGAAAGTCATTAGAAAACAATAAAAAAGAGAGAACTTGTTAATTGACCATAATTCAACTATAAAAAAATAAAGATATTTATGTTAATGGATTTCTTTTCTTGAGAGAAGTTCATTGAAGGTGATTTTTCTATTGAAACATGGTAGGAAAGATGAATTGGTTTCAGTTTTGATTGTTGAGATTTGGTTTTCTTTTGTGATATTAAGGTTTTTTAGAATTGTAAGTGGGTTATATAATTTTTTATGGTGTTTTTAAGATATTTTTAAGATGTTTTTAAAGTGTTTTTGAATTAAATGGATTGAAATTATATTTTTAAGGCAAACCCTTCATTTTTCTAAGTACTAAATTGGGACTAAAATTAAAATTACAACAAATATAATGAACTAAGGTAGATAAATAGATTAACTTGGCTAGCAGGTGGGTCACGCAAACTTGCGTATGGAGAAAGCCTGTCATATTCAAACAGCATGCATGACTTTCTCTTGTGGCCACACTTGTTCGCAATTGGTTTCGAAGCAATGTATCGAGGTTTGTCATGTGAGGTAGTGTATGAGGGTTAAGGATCAACAATGAGACGTTGGTGATATTCTTTTTTATCTGCACTTTTTTCTTTCCCCTTTCTTTAAGATTCATGCTGGTTTAATTAAAATTGAAAAATATCCAATCAATTTCTTTTAATGTTAAATTTAATTTTTATTTTTTTAATTACTATTTCTTATTTTAGGGTTTTTTAAATTAATTTTTTTCAACATCATCCTTTAATATTGAATTAATTAAAAATTAAATTTTATAAATTTTCTTTGAGTTATCCTAATTCTATTACCCGTATTATGTGTTTAAAAAGTTTGAATTAATTAAAAATTAAACTTTATAAATTTTCTTTGAGAGTTATCCTAATTTTATTACTCGTATTATGTGTTTAAAAAATTAATTTTAATTGATATTGGTCTTTAATTTAGATCTTTTTTATACTCGTTTTCTTTTCTAGTTTTCCTTTTTACATTAGATTTATTAAAAATTAAAATTTATTTTTTCTTTATTATTTTTTTTTGTAAGTTTATTTCATTGTCTAACCTAGATCTTTTGTTAAAAAAAAAAAAAACATGCTAATAGTTTCAACTACTCTGAATTGACAACCATCTCACGGAGGAGCATGTCGGTTGGCGCGCTGGGCTTGCAAATGAATTCTCTATTCAAGTCCCCAATTCATAAATCACAAGCAACCATCTAACTGACTTACCGGACCTTGACTTTCCTAGCCAAACCCGGCCCGACGCGAACTAAAAATCAGAGTGCTTCCGGCAAGGCATTTAATAGTATTTTTGGGAAATCAAAATCTGGCTGTAACTAGAAGAAAAAAGAAAAAATCAATTGTTAACAATGGGCTGCGATTGAAAGCAGTTCAAATTAAATTGGGCTCACACTCCTTTCTCCTTTCCTCGATGCTTAGCGGGCTAAAATCTTTTGCATCAGAATGTATAAAAAACTAGCAATCAGCCATGGTTGTTCACGAAAAGCTGACATTTTTATTGATTGAATGTGATTTTCTTTTCTTTTTTGTGCATCTATTTTCTGTGCAGTAAGTATGGTAGCTACAGATTCAAAATGAATTTCGACTGAGGTTAAAGAAGGCAACGATCAGGAATCAGAAGGGGCTCCGCTGCATTAAAGAAACAGAAGTGGCCTTTTCCTTGGGAGGTGATAGTTGGGTATTTTCTCTTGTTAATGCCTTTTTAAAATAATGTTTCTCAAATAAATTATAAAAGTTTGTAATTTGAATTTTTTTTAATAAAATAGAACAATGTATAAATAAATGTTGCTATTATAAATTATAATATTTAAAATTATCATGATTGAAAAAAAAAACACTAGAACTAAAAATATTATAATTCTCCAGCATGAGATTTATTCAATTTCTAAAATGAAACCCCAACAATATCCTAACTCCAAATCTCACCCTAACTTAGCTCAAATCTTAAAATTAAACCTAATCAATAATCTAACCTCAAATCAAACTCGAAAAACAAATTCTAAATAATAATCCATCTCCAAACTCTCATTCTAACTAATATTAAACATTAACTATTAAATTCAAATTTTGAAATCTTTTGTGAACATAAAACTAAAGTTGATCGTAGATTGCTTTGAAAGTTGAAGTCGTTTATAATCAAAATTCAAAGCTAAACCTACTGGGCTATTGTAACCTAGATTAAATATTATGTAAAAACCTATTTTTTTTTTAACTATAATTTCTTAACCATTTCCAACTAGTATTTCTTTTATTTTATTTGATTTTCAAGCATATTCATGTAAATTATTTTTTTGTAACCTATATTATAGTAATTGAAGTTGCTAATAATGTAATATAATAATGTTGGCTTGATTCACTTATAAATGACTGAATTGAAATTCTAAATAATATAAATATTAAAATTAAAAAAATGATCTAAATTAGTAATTTATCAAACAAAAAAAAACAATGATCTAAATTAGTAATTTATCAAACACAAAAAAAAACCCTACAACAGTATTAACATTCTAACTACAATAAACCCTATTATCTGTTAGAGAGCAATATAAAATCATATTTTGAAGTTTTATTCAAAAGCTTAAGTTAATAGGTTGAGATATTCTTTGACATGGTATCATAACCTTAATGACTAAATAGTCACGAGTTTGAATCTCACCACTCTCATTCTCTCTTTTAATTAAAATCTAATTAATAGTGCAACATAGTATACACTTATGCAAATTTTAAGCTCAAAAGACTTTAACTTGAAATGGTATGTTAGAAAATAATATAAACTTATATCTTGAAATCTTATTTACTAGTTCAAGCTTTTAGGTAAATTGATTTTTTGACATTGTCTTCATTCACTTTTCCACCTATAAAATTTAGTTTAGGTGAAGGATTGAGATTAAGGTATTGTTTAGTGTTTGATTTCGGGCTTTGAAGTTAGTTAAGAAGAGGTTTTAGGGTTAGGGTATTGTTAAAGTTTGATTTTAGAGTTTAAGTATACATTAATATTAGGAATCATGAAATATTTAGTTTTTACATTTTCCATTCATGACAACTTTAAATATAACAATAAGTATAAATTATGTTATTTTGTAAAAAATAAAAAAAATT